CGATTCCCGGGTAGGGCATATGCCCAAGTTGAAGGCTCAATCCCCAGGGTGGGGCGTGCAGGAGGCAGCCAATCAATGATTCTCTCTCATCATTGATGTTTCTATCTCTCTCTCTGAAATCAATAAAAATATATTTTTAAAAAAAGAATAGAGCTACCATATGACCCAGCAATTCCTCTCATGAGTATATACCAGAAAAACTAGAAACCATGTATTCCCAAAGACATATGCACCCCTATGTTCATTGCAGCATGATTCATGGTGGCCAAGACGTGGGAACATTCAATGTAGTCTTGATTGAATCTTCATTTCTCATCCCAGGCAATATGGCATCTGACCCCCTCCTGGGGTAGTACCCAGGGGACTCCCTCTTGTCTGAGGCTCTTCCCTGCTCCTAGTGGAGGCTGGAGCGGTAGGTAACTGGTCCTTCCCAAGCTCCTCATGCTCAGAGACCCAGACTCTGCAACTCAAACACGATTTTCTTTCTGCGTTACTAATCTGCGGTGAAGTTCAGCACATGTTGAAACTCAAGAGCTGTTCCTGTCCTGTGCCGGGAGCATTATGATTTTCATGAGTCCCAGGCACTTTTGATTAGTGTGAATCAAGATACTAAATTTATATTTTACAACTACTTTGATATAAAGATGAATACAATCCAGGATGGGTTCATTGTTACGTATTCATTACTATTATACTCATTTTTCTTTCTGATTCTAAAAGAAATGAAAACATATTTGTGGGTCCCCAAAAATATCATACGAAAAGGGATATTCCATTCAACTGACCACATGGGTGAGGGGCACAGGATGTTCAGGGTGGGAAGGAGACCCATATGCTAACACTTCAAAATGCCAAGTCACTGCATTCCCAGCACCCAAGTCCATCCATGTCACTCCGCTGTCCGAACCCTGTGCAGGAAAACATCCAAGCTCTTTCCTGGCAGTCAAGGTCCTTCATTGCGGGTTCCTATCTGTTTTTACAGTCTCATGGTCCACAAGCTTTCGACACCTCCCTCTTGGCGAAGGCCAAAGACACCATCACACCTGCACACTTTTGCCCAGGCTGCTCCCACCTCGACCACCTCATGCATATGTGCCCCATCGTGCTCAAATGTCACTGGCTCTCTCCTTTACATTCCTTACTCTCTCCTCTATATTCCTCACTCATTTCTCTGCTCTGGCACTTAAACACCCTGCTACCTCCATCTCTTCCCTTCAACTACGAACCCCTTGAGGGCAGGAACCATAGTGAGTTTTTCTCTGGATCCCCAGTGCCTAGCACCGGGCCTGGCACACAGCAGGCACTCAATGAATGCAGAATACAAAGCAGGTGACTGAATGAATGAGTGAGGAGATAGAAAAGTCTGCTGAGCAAAGGGATCCCTTCTGTTTACGCTCCGCCCCCCCACCCCCACCCCAACAAATGGAGGGTCTAGGCCGATGGTGGAGCCAGGGCTGAGCTCCCTCCAGACCTGCCCTCTGACTCAGCCCCTCCCCAGAGGCTGGTTTCTGGGAACATGCTGGACGCTTGGCTCGCCTCCTGGCTGAATCCTCTGTGTTGACTTTGTTCTGCCCCAGAAACCCCCGTGTTTAGAGGCTGTGCTTCCAGGCCACGGGGCCAGGGATGAGCAATGTGGAGGTAAGGACCTCAGGTGTCACGGGGATGAGGTGGGGCAGCAGCCTGAGACCCCCCCGGCAGCCTCCCTTCCTTCTAAAGTGGAGTTCGGTGCAGGATGCTGGGCACATCACAGGACTCTCAGGGAAATGGGGTGACAGCACCTACCTCACAGGTTGTCATGAGAACCAACTGAGAAAACTATGTGGGCTCCTGGAGTCCAGGTGGCATCAAGTGGGTGCTAAACAAATGTCATCTGGGGTGCAACGTGGTGAAATTTAAGACCCTGCGGTGAATACGGTCCCTCTGGAATGCCCAGCACCTGAACCCCTTTCCTCTGCCAGGTCTCCTCCCTTTCCTCCACCTCATCTCTGAAGGAGACCCCCACAGAACTGGCGAGGCTGTCCCAGCCTCCCGTGATGAGGGCATGCAGCAGCCAGCAGTTGTAGGCAGCACCTGGTGTCCAGTGCTGGTGTGAGGTGAGGGGTCTGTGGCCAGGGCTGGCACCAAGCCACTTCAGGCATATGATTTGGGGCATTGTTTGTGGCCGGGTGTGGCCTTTGGGCTGGCTCTTTGGCCCGACCAGAGAATCTCGATAGCCTTCTAATGAACCTCTTTCTGTTTAAATTAGTTGGAGCTGGTTTCTGTTTTTTAGAACCGGAAACAGGGAAGTGTGATCCAACAAAGCTAAGGGGATTGTGGGTATCATTGAAGGTCTAGTGCCCAGAAGAAGACAGGGTCTGATCTGTTCATATCTGCTCTGTACAGCACAGAGCACAGCAGGGAGGCCCAGCCCCCAACCTCACTCTGGAAGCTACTACACTCCAGAAGGGAACACGACAAAGTAGAGGCTCCCTAGGGGACAACGACCCGGTCAGTGTGGGGTCTAAACTCATGGCAGGGCAGGGGGAAGGGACATGGAGCTTGGAGCTGAGTAGGCTGAAGGCTTTGGAAGAACAGCCATGGTCCTTTGGTTTAGGCTCCAAGAGCCACTCTGGAAGTTCAGTGGGAGAGCGAACTTCTGTGCAAAATGATGTGGGAGTCCAGGCCTTGCTCACAGCTGGGATACTTAGGAGATAGACAGAGTTGCCTTTGGAGGAGGTAAACTCGCCAGCACGGGAGATAAGCAAGAACTGCATCCTGAAGCAGACAAAAGCAAGCCCATCTGGGCTTCCCTGGCTTGGCTGGGGGGGAGAGGGGGGGGGCGGGGGGTGTCTCCAGGCCAGGTGAAGGGATAAGCCTGCAGCAACACCTGAACACTAGACTTTCGCAGGGGCCCTCCCTGCCCACCGCCCGCCGCATTATTAGTCCACAGTGGGCAGAGTGAGCTCTCAATCTACAGAAGCTAAAAAGTGTCTTAGTCCCCTGGTGGCCTGGCCCAAACCCAAAGGTGAGGGGTGAGAGAAGAACATACCTGAAGGACAACGAGGCAGAGGGGCAAATCTCAGTAACCCAGAATGACTGATAATGGATCTGATAAAACACCTAAAAAATCACCCTAAGTACCCTGAGCAACCTTTATTTTCCCATTGCTTGGATGATGATCACAGATTGGTGAGGACATGGGGGGAGGAGGTGCTGGCACACGCCTGTATGTCGGTGGCTGCGTACAATCCTGCAGCAGGAAATTTGGCAAATTCTACAGAAGTCCCTCCCACACGTCTTCTGGCCCAGGGATTCCATTTCCTGGAATTTATCCTTTGCCTGACCTCACTTACGTGCAAAATGTTGTGTGAGTTGTATTGTTTGGTGGAAGCAAATGATGAGAACAACCTACTCATCCACTAACAGGGGACCCATCAAGAGATGATGGTACCGCCTGGCTGGTGTGGCTCAGTTGGTTGGGTGTAGTCTCGTGCACTGAAAGGTTGCTGGTTGAATTCCCAGTCAGGGCACATGCCCAGGCTGCCATGATCCCTGGTAGGGGGTGTGCAGGAGGCAGCTGATCCATGTTTCGCTCTCACATCAATGTTTCTCTCTCACATCAATATTTCTCTCTCTCTCCCTCTCTCTCTAAAAATCAATTTAAAAATCTTTAAAAAAAAAAAAAGAAAGATGATGGTACGTCCACATGATGGAAAACTTGGCAAGTGGCAAAGAGCATGAAGGAATTATTTTAAATGTTTTTCTTTTTTTATTGATTTTTAGAGAGATAAGAAGGGAGAATGAGAGAAAGATAGAAACATTGATGAGGGAGAAACCTCACCATTAATCAGCTGCCTCCTGCACACCCCCTGCTTGGGATTGAGCCTGCAACCTGGGCACGTGCCTTGACTGGGAATTGAACCAGTGACCTCTAGGTGCATGGGTCGATGTTCAACCACTGAGTCACACTGGACGGGCGAGGGTACTTTTTACGTACAGACATGCACTGCTCTCCAAGATAAAATAAGTGAAACCATTAAGTGCAACCAGTAAGCTACTATCCTATATAATAATTCTATATAATAAAAGGGTAATATGCAAACTGACCCTAATGGAGGAACTACCGGTCGCTATGGCATGCACTGACTACCAGGGGGCAGACACTCAATGCAGGAGCTGCCCCCTGGTGGTCAGTGCGCTTCCACAGCGGGAGCTCCGCTCAGCCACAAGCTGGGCTGAGGGCTGTGAGTGCAGCGGTGGTGGCGGGAGCCTCTCCAGCCTCCTTGGCAGCGCTAAGGATGTCTGACTGCAGCTTAGGCCTGCTCCCTGCTCCTAAGCTGGCAGGTGGACATCCCCCGAGGGGTCCCGGACTGCTAGAGGGCGCAGACTGGGCTGAGGGACCCCCCTGAGTGCACGAATTTTGTGCACCAGGTCTCTAGTTTATGTATAAAAGAAAAAAAAATATGTCTACCGAGGCCTTTGTAGTCAGTCTGTCTCCAGAAGGCACAGGAACCAGGAATAGGGAATTTGTGTGGCTGGGAGAGAAGAGAAACTTGACTTCATTTTTCATTGTAAACCATCAATATTTTGAATTTGGTAAAGTGTGCATGTAGAGTATAAATAACAAAATAGGAAGAGAAAGCTGAATGTAACAGAAAACAGGACTGTGCCAGCCGTCAGCACCCCACCTCAGTGTCCCCTGGTACCTATCTTTACAGGTGCCAGTGCTCCCTCTCTGCAGGGGATGAGATGGGACCAGCTCCCTGAACTCCAGGAAGCCTTCCAGCATCACTCAGCAGGGGAGTGGCAGAGCGGGTCTGGGACCCAAGTGTGCAGTCATGCTTGGGGCAATGCCCTCCTGGGAAGCCCGCTGCCCGGCGCCAGTTACCCCTGTGCCAGCCCTAGGACTGTGATCTCTAGGTGTAGGAGGGAACAGCGAAGGAGGACAATTCTAGAAACTCAGCTCTGGACACAGTTTGGGAGAAGGATCGTGCTCCTGTGAAAAGGCCGAGGTCGAGGTCATGGCGTACTGGGAAGGCCACGCCTGGCCTGTCTGGGGCCAGCTGCTGACCTCCCACAGGTAATTTCCCCTTCGCACCTGAGCCTCCTCCAGGTTCTCCCCTGGGGGATGGAGGAGGTGTAAATGAGATGGTAACTGAGAAAGCCCCCACCTTTGAAGGAGGTTCTCAAAAACAATCCAGGTGCCCTAGCCGGCTTGGCTCAGTGGATAGAGCCTCAGCCTGTGGACTGAAGGGTCCCAGGTTCGATTCCGGCCAAGGGCACATGCCTGGGTTGCAGGCTCGATCCCCAGTAGGGGACGTGCAGGAGGCAGCCCATCAATGATTCCCTCTCATCATTGATGTTTCTCTCTCTCTCCTCTCTCCCTTCTTCTCTGAAATCAATAAATATATTTAAAATAATAATAATAATCCAGGTCTCTCAGGCTCAAATGGAGGCTCTAACGCAAACACACATATTGTTTGCTAAAGTCTTCCCACTGTTCCTTGGACTGACACCTATGCAGGGCCTCCCACACGCCGGCCTCGGGTGGCCAGGGCGGTCCCCCTCGCACGCCACCGACCCGCGTGTCCCCACACATGCCCACACCTCCGAACGCACCAATCCCACAGCCCCCGCGCCCTGGGGCTGGCACTCGGGCCACGCCCGCCGCCCACACGCACCGTGGCGCAGGACACCGGGCGCAGATCATCGCCTGGAGGGGCACCCCTCGCCCCACCGCGCCCGCCGGGCGTCAATGCCTCCGCGGAGGCCCCGCCCTCCCCCGCCCCAGGCGGCCAATAAGCGCCGCAGCCCGAACCAGCCCCAGCCGCCGATTGGCCCGCCTGTGGGCAGTGTCCCCCGCACGTGGGGCGGGGGCGGGGGTGAATGAAGTGGAAGCGATTCCTCCGCCCCGGTAACAGCCCCCCCGCCCCCCCCAGGGCCCGCCGGGGCCCGGCCCCCTGGGCGCCAAGTCCAGCTCTGCCAGCCTGCCGGCTGCGCGCTGAGCCGGACCCTGGTGTCGGGGTGCCCCGGACGGGTCACCTATTCGAAGAACCACGACGAGCCATCCCAATTTGGTTTCCAACCGGAAAGACGAGAGAAAGATATTGAGATAAAAGAAAAT